TGGTTGCTGTTGGCTCACAACCCTGTAATTCCTTTGAAAAAATGATCTGATTGGGACAACTGTGACTTTAATACTTCAGTTCCTTTGGAAACATCCAGATGAAAAGTGATGCATTATTTTCCTAGTGGCTTTTGTTCCTGGCTAACTGTAATAGTTTGTTGGATCACTGGGAGTAATTCTGTGGAGCTGAGTTTGCTGGGCTGGCAGATTTGGAGGGGTAGACAAAGAATGACCAGTCTGAAGCAACCCTTCTAGCCCAGACACGTGAATTTACAACAAATGTTTACTGAGTGCTTGCTATGTGCCAGGCACTGCATCAGGCACAGGGCAATGAAGATGAACAAGACAGTTTCTACTAGAGTCTGCTAACTAGACTGAAAACTCATCAAAAATAAATGCCGACTCTTAATTCTGTTTACATCCCCCAAATTGTCTAGGGCAGTAGCTAGCTTAAGGCAGAGTCCCCAACAAACACCAAATGTTTAAACAGGCATATTTCCATTTTGCACAGTAAATATTTACTAAGTGCCTACTAGGGGCTGACGTTGTGTTAGATAGTAGAGATACTCAAGACTACTAAAATAGAGCTCATACCCTCAAGCTGCTCACGGTCTGGTGGGGAAGACAGACATTAAAACATTAATCACCTGTAATCCCAGCACTTTGGGAGGCAGAGGTGGGTGAATCGCTTAAACCCAGGTGTTGGCAAAACCCTGTCTCTACAAAAAAATCAAAAAATCAAAAATTAGGCATAGTGGTGCACACCTATAATCCCAGCTACTCAAGAGGCTGAGGCAGGAGGATCGCTTGAGCCCAGGAGGTCAAGGCTGCAGTGAACAGTGTTCACACCACTGCACTCCAGCCTGGGCAACAAAGTGAGACCCTGTCTCAAAACAAAAAACAAAACCACAACGTTATTCAACTTGTACAAATTTGAACCCCCTAGGAGCCCCTGAGCCCCTGAGAAACACCTTGTCACCTAGTCCCTCCTCTGGAGCCCCCAGATCTCCCTACAAAATGGATAATAACTGGCATAGAAGAGAGACCCCAGGATGCTTCTCCAGCAAGCACTATGTCCATTCTGATTGGCCAATGCATTTGTCTTTTTGGTTGATAATATTTTAGTATCATTCCTGCAGGGGGTAATAGCAACACAAGACACTCATGTATGGGAGACAGAGGAAGAAATAACTTCATCATATGAGAGGGCTGCCCAATTCCATTTGGAGGAGGAGTATGCAGCCTCCAGCAAAACCCAACACAGCAGGTGATATTTTGTTTCCAGGAGTCTACTCAAAACCCCTGCTCCCACAAGCACGAGCACAAGTACAGACCCCAGCTTCAAGGAACTGTGTGCACCACAGGTGAGGGGGCACCTGAACATTATTTCATATTAATAATTATGGATTTTAGGCTGGGCCTAGTGGCTCACATCTGTAATCCCAGCACTTTGGGAAGCTGAGGCGGGTGGATCATTTGAGGTCAGAGTTCAAGACCAGCCTGACTAACATGGTGAAACCCCGTCTCTACTAAAAATACAAAAATTAGCTGGGCGTGGTGGCAGATGCCTGTAATCCAAGCTACTCAGGAGGCTGAGGCAGGAGAATCACTTGAACCCAGGAGGCAGAGGTTGCAGTGAGCTGAGATCGTACCACTGTACTCCATCCAGCCTGGGTGACAGAGTGAGACCCTGTTCCAAAAAATAAATAAATAAATAAATAAATAAATAAATAAATAAGGATTTTAGATACAGAAAATCATTTTGAAGTGATATTGTAAAATATTTTAAGTTTAAGGTTAATTTTTTAAATTTCTCCTATTCTAGGCCAATCGTACCCATAAGCATAGTGTTGTAGTCTTCATTCAAATAACCTCATTATCTACTGAGTCATTAGATGCACTTGTGAGCAGTAATGATCCAGAGAACCTCCTGAGAGCTAGTTTAAAAATCTTTGGAGCTAATCCTTCTCTCAGGGGAGAGAGGAATGCTTTGGTTTCTTCTTCATGCCTTGCAAAGCTGAGGTTTAGAGTCTAGAAATGTTATTGGAGCCTTTGATAGTCTGCAAAATTGAAAGAAAGGGAAGGAGAGAGAGAGGAAGAAAGGAAGGAAGGAGGGAAAGAAGGAGGGAGAGAGGGAGAGAAAGAGAGAGAAAGGGAGAAAAGAAAGAAAAAGATAATCAACCAGGTCAGACTTGGTGGCTCCCACCTGGAATCCTAGCACTTTGGCAGGCTGAGCAGGGAGGATCACTCGAGGCCAGGAGTTTGAGACCAGCCTGAGCAACATGGCAAAACCCTGTCTCTACAAAAAATACACATACACACAAATTAGCAGGGTGTGGTGGTACTCACCTGTAGTCCTAGCTACTTGAGGGGCTGAGGTGGGAGGATTGCTTGAGCCCAGGAGGTCAAGGCTGCAGTGGGCCGAAATCACGCCATTGACTGCAGCCTGGGTGACAAAGTGAGATCTTGTCTCAAAACAAACAAACAACAACAACAACAGCAAACATACAATTCTTCCCAAACTTCTCAGATTTTCAAAATATTGACTCATGAGAACCTAAAGCTGAAAGGGTCAATTTTCCAGTTGCAAATCCGTCAAACAGCTTGTCTAAGCTGGTTTCTCAATAGGAACCACAATTATTCAATGGAAATATGTCAACTGTTCCTGGCTCAAATTTTATGAGAAAAACAATGAAACAAATTACACTTGTTGGTGTTTTATAGGTAATTGAAACTGGCTTCTTAAAATTCAGGTGTTGGACTGTTGAGAATATGCCTTCATTAACTCTTTTGTTGTTACCTCCTTTTACTCAAGACAGGATTTCATAATATTGATTATTTAAAAATAAATTAGTGGGTCAGGCACGCTGGCCCACGCCTGTAATCCTAGCACTTTGGGAGGCCAAGGTGCGCTGATCACTTGAGCTCAGGAGTTCAAGACCAGCCTGTGCAAAATGGCAAAACCCCATATGTACAGAAAATACAAAAAAAAAAAAAATCAGTAAGGCATGGTGGTGGGCGCCTGTAGCCCCAGCTATTTGGGGTCTGAGGTGGGAGGATCACTTGAGGCCAGGAGGCAGAGGCTGCAGTGAGCCGAGATCATGCCACTGCACTCTAGCCTGAGTGACAAAGTGAGACCTTATCTCAAAGTAAATAAATAAATAGAAATACATTGCTGGCATGAGACTAGGTTACTTTCTAGTCACTTCTCCAGCCTCATCTTCCTTTACCTCTTGTTGTACACACAAATGATAGCACTCCATCCCCAAGCAGATTCTGTACTGTTTCCCCTCCAGGCATTTAGTCACTCTGTCCCCTCTCCATAGAATGACCCCTCCCTCAATTTTCTCTGAAAATGTTTGTGTTCTCCAGGATGTCTCTCCTCATCTCATTTCCTCCTCTGGATAAGGAGCTCTTCCTTTGTGCTCCTATTTCACACTCAGCACCTCTCCATCACCGCAATGACCACCTTCTATCATAAGCACCATGTTTGTATATATATTGCTGTCTTCCCCTCTCCCCAGACACAGTGACAAAATGAAGCATCACTCATTTTTCACATTTTAATGGCCTCACATACTACCTGAAAATAGTAGGTACTTGTATCAGTCATCTATTGCTGCATAACAAATTACCCCAAAACTTAGCTTTTGAAATTCACAATATTTATTATCTCACAGTTTCTGAGTCAGAAATTCAGGAACAGGTGCAGCTTAGTTGGGTGATTGGGGTGCAGATCTCTCACAAGGCTGTAATCAAGGTGTCTGTCAGGCTACAGTCTCAAGGGTCAACGGCAGGGGGGGATCTGTTTCCCAGCTCACTCGGGTGGCTGTTGGCAGTCCTCAGAAAATCGACTTTCCAGCTCAGTCACGTGGTGTTGGCAGATGTTAGGATCCTTGCTGACTGTTGACTGAAGATACTATTTCCTTGCCACACAAATTTCTCCATAATGTTACTCAAAACAAAGCAGCTGGATTTCCCCAGACTGAAGTCTGAGAAAGAGTGAGGTGGAAGTCACAGTCCTCTTGTAACCTAATCTCAAAAGTGACATTCTGTCACTTTTGTTGTATTCCAGTTGCTAGAAGTGAGTCACTAGGTCCAGCACACATTCAAGGAAAGGAGATTGCACAAGGATGTAAATTCTGGAAGGTGGAGATCACTGGGGACCATCTTCAGGCTGCTGACCACAGTGCTCAATAAATCTGTAAACAAATGGACACATCTCTCCAGAAAGGAATGAGCCCTTCCTTCCCTGAAGATCCACAGTGTTTGAATTATTAGAGAATGCAGCACAATGTGACTTTAGCTGGGCATGTGTTCATATACATTGCCGGATCATCAGCAACTGAGTAAAAACGGTGCCAAACATATGGCTGGCACGTAGTAAGTAATTCCTTGAGTGGGTGAATAAGTGAAAGAAAGGGTGGCAGAGACTAGGACTTGTCCATTATGTTCTTCAATGATATAATTTTTTTTATTTTTAGCTAGGCACATAGGCATGCCACTGGAGACTACATTTCCCAATATCCCTGCAACTGGAGGTGGCCATGCTACTAGTATTGGGCTAATGGGATGTGAGAACCTTGGGCAAAACTTTTGTTTCTCCCTTTCCTTTGACTGGAATACAGAGGTTTGAGTGAGACCCTGAGCAGGGAGAGATACAATGAGAGTGGCAGGACCATCCTATCAGACTACTGACTACCAGACAACCTCTGGGCTAGTCCATGAAGCAGAATTAAACTTTTTTCCTTTTCTTTTCTTTTTTTTTTTTTTTTTTTTTTTTTTGAGATGGAGTCTCACTCTGTCTCCCAGGCTGGAGTGCAGTGGTGCGATCTCGGCTCACTGCAACCTCCGCCTCCTGGGTTCAAGCGATTCTCCTGCCTCAGCCTCCCAAGTAGCTGGGACTATAGGCACATGCCACCACGCCCAGCTAATTTTTTTCTATTTTTAGTAGAGACAGCGTTCCACCATGTTGGCCAGGCTGGTCTCGAACTCCAAGACTCAAATGATCGGCGCGCCTCAGCCTCCCAAAGTGCTGGGATTATAGGCGTGAGCCACCACGCCCAGCCAGAACTAAACTTTTATCCTATAAAAACTACTGTTCTCTAGAGTCTCATCATTATACCAGCACAGAGTATTCCTGTCAAATACAGAATTTTAAAAGCAAACAAGAAGGCACCCACCATCCCTTCCTCTCCTTCATAACTAGCCCATGCTTTAAACACACCCAAAATACTTGTTAGATGTAATTGCGTCTGTGGGAACACCGGGCCGTCTTGGTGGATGAGAAGGAGTATTTCAGTCATCTTTCCCCTTTGTTAGGCAAGTGCAGGCTTCTTTCAGTCAGCACTTGTAAGATTCAGAGACTCTGGGGCTCCTCAGAGAAGTGGCCTACAGCAGCACAAAGTGGCCTTAACTTTCAAAGGTTGTGGCAGAAAGAGGCACACATCAGAGTGGATTCGTCTCAAGGAAAATCTGTCCAGCCTGAGGTTTCCTTGCAGGGTTTGATTTGTTTTCCAAAAAAGGAGAAGAGTTCTCAGCACAAGCCCTGCAAAACACCAGGCCAGCAGCTCCTCCAGACCCCTGCAGCTGTCAAGGGCCAGTGTTCCACTGCGCAGAGGCGGCCACGGTCGTTCTGGCTCCCCACTCGTCTGCTCTCAGGGCATTGGCCACGCTGCAGTTCTGGAGGAGCAGGGTTTCTGCCTTCATCTGAAACTGGAGAGGATCCAGGACCTGAAACTGGATGGTTTAGTTCTGTTTGTATTCTTTCACAGTACACGGATGGAAGGCTCCACCAACACCATCTTCAAATGCCAAAATAAAATGCTCATCCAGCCAAATCATCTCTGCTGAGGCTAGCACAAGGAGATGACAAAACCTTGTTAAAATACAGGAAGGAGCTAGGAAGGAAGTGGAATAAGGGTTTCTTGCCTGGATTGAAAAAAATCTGTTAATGGGGTAGATATATGCCAAGTATAGAGTCATTTGAAGATATTTCTTTTTCATGGGCAGGCAAATTTGAGAAACCAGAAGAGAAAGAAGGGGTGAAGAACTCCAGGTTAAAGTCACAGATTCAGTTGTCTTAGAATGTGGGGAAGTTTTAAAGCACCTGCTCTCTGGGACCTTCTAGAAATATCCAAAGCACTTAAGAAGTCAGCTATGTCCATTCCCAACAATGATTCTGAGTGTGCAAAGACTTAGTTTTTTAATGCTGTTGATGGTAGAGGAGGGAGACAGTAAATCTGACTTGAAGGATGATTCAGATTTAATAGGTGGCCACTGGCAGACGGTAGAGAGCATTTCAGGCAGGGAGCAGCATAAGCTACATTCCTGGGGTCCGAGAGTACAATGGGTGTTTCTGGAACTCCCGATGACCCAGAGAGGAAGGATCACAGGGTACTTGAGTGAAGTCTTTGATAAGAAAGAATGGAGATGATTTCAATTAAAAATAGTGCAAAGGATATGGGAAGAAGTAAAGAAGGGTTAATGGAGCAGAGAGAAAAGAGACATTCTATTCTGTAGAATCCAGCTGCACAGCAGTATAGTGGTTAGCTCTGTGGCTCACGACTCCATGGCTTAAGTCAAAGCCTCTGGGGTCACCCACTGTATTAGTATCCTCGGCTGCTGTAACCAAGTACCATAGATTGGTGGCTTAAATTTATTTCAGCCATTCAGAAATTTATTGTCATGGTAACCATCTCTTCCTCTACTTCATAACTAGCCCATGTTTAAACACACCCAAAATATTTGGTAGATATAGTTGTGCCTATAGGACCATTGGGTTGTGTTGATGGATGAGAAGGAGTATTTAAGTCATCTTTCCCCTTTGTGGGATTGTCACCCACTGTATTAGTATCCTAGGCTGCCATAACAAAGTACCACAGATGGGTGGCTTAAATTTATTTAAGCCATTCAGAAGTTTATTGTCTCACAGTTCTGGAGGCCAGCAATCTGAGATCAGAGTGTTGACGGAGTCCGTTCCTTCTGAGGCTATGAGGGAGAATCTGTCCCGTGCCTCTCTCCTATCTTCTCGTGGTTTGCTGGCAATCTTTGGCTTGTGGGTGCATCACTCCGATCTCTGCCTTCATCTTCATATGGCGTTCTCCCTGAATGCATGTCTGTCCCTATCTTCAAATTCCCCCCTTTTATAAGAATGCAGCCATACTGCATCAGGCCCACCCTAACAAACATATCTTATCATCTGCAAAGACTGCTTTTCCATGTTAGGTCATATACACAGGTACCAGGGTTAAGACTTTCATATATTTTGTGGGGACACAATTCAACCCCAAACAGCCACTTTGTATTGCAAAAGGTGCTTGGTCTTTTAGCCCCAAGAACCTGTCTAAAACAGGAAGAAGGGTGTTCTTGGTGCAAGGATTGGCATAAAGTCAGTGCCTAACACACATCAGTGGTACTACCGTGCATACAGAGGACCCTCTATAGAAGCCAACCCCTGGCATAACTTCTAATTCAGGAACGTAGACAGAGGGACCGCTGACAGGTCCCCAATTTACTGATTTTCCCCACTCCCAACCCCAGTGCCTAAAGTCTTAGGGGCTTGATAAATATTTTCTGTAGTTTATGACTCTGTAACTTGACCTAATTTTTACTTGAAGCCACTATACTCCCATGGTAACAGAAACTGAAATGTCATCCATTTGAGGTTTCTCTCACCCTCTTTCCTGGGATTGTGGCTAAATTTCAGTGAGTCATGCCACGCCAGGACTCAGGGCAGAGACATGGGAGCTGGTTCTTAGTTCACTGGTCCAGCTAGGCTTCTGATGAGACTCCCAGTATCCTGCTGGTCCTAAGGAAGCAGTGCCCACAGGCATTGTTCCTGTCCCAACAGTCCCTGAGGTCTGGCAGGGCCCTCTATCATCTCTATGCCTCACAAGGGCAGAGGATCCTTCAACTGCCTCCATGCCAGGCTGGAGCAAAGGACTCCTCTGGGTCTGCAGCCACTCCCTCATGGGGTCTTCCTGCTTTCCCCCAGGGTTCTTCCCCCAGGGAAAGAAGTAGAGCACTCCTGCCTCGGGCTTCCCAAAACTTTCTGTGGGACCTGCAGTGCCTGGGGACTCCCCATGTTAGACTGGCCCACCCTGCTCTCATTAACTTCATCCTCTACCTCCTCAAACCCAACTAGATGGGGGGAACCTTCTGTCTCCCTTTACTGTTTCTCCCCAGACATTTTGGAGATACCTTAATCCTAATCCTCTTTGTTCCACTGAGGACACAAAGTTTTAGAAAGCAAAACCAGAAAGACAGAGGGGGCAGGGCACTATTTGTGCCTTCATCCTTGACACCCCTTCCACTGAGGTGTGGACTCAGACCAGCATACTGCATTAACAGGAAAACACCAGAGGAAATAAGTTAACATTTTAAAAATATTACCTCAGCTTGTTTTGGTGGATAAATAAATAAATAAATAAATAAGGCACTTGGGGCCAGATCCTGAGCCAGCTTCATGAAAATCCTCACTTCTGAGGTCCCACCAACACCTAGGTTTCCAGTGGGAGGGCCCAGAGCCCCCACACCTTTTCCACCCAGAAGTCAGAGCTCAGGCTGTGATTTCTATGGTGTCCAAGAGCTCCCTGACCACCTGCCCCAAGTGGAATCACTAATTTCTTCTGCTGTGCTCCCAAGCGTGGCTGCAGTTCTAATGAGCATGTACCCATGCTGCCTGGCATTACTACAGTTAATATTCTACAGAATATTCCACCAGCTCTTCCCCAACCTATGCAGCAAAGGGAAAGCTCTGTCACTTACTACCCGGGTGATTTTTCTGTCCTCCCATTTTCCTCATAGGTAACATGGGGGTAAGGATCCCCACCTGCTGGGTTGCTGCAAGGGTTAGGTAACGCAGCCTCAATGAAGTCCCAAGCCACGGCCCAACAGGTGGTGGGTGTGTGTGAATAGCTAGGGCTGGGGCTGGGGCCTGCTTGGGTACACTCTCCTTGGCCTCACTCGCACAGGCCAGGGGGTGAGCCATCATGCTAACGAGGCTGCTCCAGCAGAAGGGCCTCAGCCTGTGGACTTCACCCAACAGAAGGGCGATCACTAAAACCCACTCATGCCTTAAACCAGCCCAGGTTGAGGTCATGGTGACCCATTCAATAACTAAGCTCTCCTGGAACGTCAGCTATGAGCCAGGGGTTTTCATGCGCCTGACATCGGGCTCCGTGGGGTGCTGGGGGAGGCCGATACGGACAGAAGAACAGGATAATAATGTAAAGAGCTAAAAACAACTGGGCTCAAGGTGCTATGGGATCACAGAAGAACACTGATTGTTTACTTGTGGTCATTCATTTATTCATACCACCTTCATAGCCACCTGTTTTTCCAGAAAGGATGTAAGGAGGCGTGGGAGAAATAAAGAATTCTACGCCATCAGTCATCTGGAAGTCTGGCCCTGATGGCTGTCACTAAGCATATCAGGAGGACAGATTGTCCAGGCTCAGGGCACAGCAAGGACAAGAGCATGGATATGTGGACACACCAGCCTGAGATGCTGCTTTTCCCAGGCAAGTGCTTTTCCCAGTGAGTGCTGGTCCCCAGATGTCCCCAGGCCTTACGCCTTCACCTCACCTCTTTCAGGTTCCTGTTCAGATGTCCCTTTCTCAGCAAGGCCTTTGGTAATCACCAGTGGTACACCAGGGCTGGCTAGTCCCAGTTCCCAAGAGCTGATTGTTAAATTTCCAGGAAATTTGCCAGCTGGTTAGTAAACACAGACATTAGTGAAAACTAAACTATGTGAATTTATAACTAAATAAATTGTATTAGCAGCCCAGGTTTTAAACATACTCGAAACACCTCATTGCCTAATTATTTTACATTTTACTATTACCTATACTTGAGGTTATTTACATCTACTACATCCGTATGGTAGGTATACTACATAATACTGTGCTAATGTGCACTCCCAATTTCCCATTTAATGATGTTGAATTCATAGTTTTAAATAAGCCAGGCATTGTGATGTGTGCTTGTAGTCCCAGCCGAGGTAGAGGCTGACGTGGGAGGATCACTTGAACCTAGGAGTTCAAGGCTGCTGTGAGCTACGATCGCACCACTGCACTCCAGCCTGTGCAACAGAGCAAGACCCTGTCTCTAAATAAATAAATAAAATTTATAGCTTTGATCTTCCATGGCAAGGATATTTCCACCATTGAAATTGGCCATTGCTACAAATCAGGGCTTTTTCCCGCAGAAAGCCAGTTGTTCAGCATTTACCAGCACACCACTGCTAGCCATCTTATTCAAAATTGTAATCACCCTCCCACCTCCAATCTCACCTACTCTCATTTATTTTTTTCATAGAACATATTGCTTTCTAACAGGTTACACAATTTATTTAGCATTCTTATTTCCTGTCTCACCACATCAGAAAGCAAGTTACATGAAGGCAGCGATGTTTTTCTACTGTGTCCTTCATGGAATCCCGGTGCCCAGAAGAGTACCTTGCACTTAGCTGTGCTCAGCAAATCTTTATTGAATGAATGTTGTCGAACGCTGGGACTCTCTGTGGGTATGACTGGCAGGGATAGGGGTTAGGGCTCCTCCCATCACCTTGCCCTTGCCCAGTGGGGCTGTTCCTGACTCCAGGCTGACCCCTGCCTCCCTCCCTGCCATCTCCTCCATGCCTACAGACTCAGGGGAGTCTCATGTAAATGTGTTCCTCGGGACCCCGAGTCTGTGGGATTTCTCTTTACTCTGCCAACTCTGGCCTGAGACCAAAAAGTACTCACTTAATGTTACGGAGAATAAAGCTTTGTTGGCCTTTAAGACAGTGGTTCCCAACTGGCACCCAACCAGCACCCAGGAACTCGTTAGAAATGCAAGTTCTCAGGCCCCACCCCAGACACATTGAGCCGGAAATTCTGGGGATGAGGCCCAGCAATTTGTGTTTCTGAGAGTCCAATGCAGGAGACGCCAATGCATGCTCATTTGAGAACCACTGACTTAAGTCATTCTGAGCCAGTGGTTCTCAACGGGGACAATTTTGTCCCCAAGGGAACATTTGTCGGTATCGAGATATTTTTGGTTGCCATAGCTGGGGGGCAGGTGCTACTGGCACCTAGTGGGTACAGGTGTGGATGCTGCTAACCCTCCTACAATGCACAGGGCAGCTCCTACAACAGAATTATCTGGCCCGAATGTCAATAATGCATAGGCTGAGACCCCGCTTTAAAGTATCCTCACTTTCCTACATCCATCCAGCTCTGCTTTCTTGTCTTTTCTACAGTAACCAACCTGCCCACCTCTGACAGTCAACTCTGAGGCAGACAAACAAGACTGGTGACCTGCCTCATGGATATTTTCTTGAACTAAGGAACAGGGACAATTAAGCTGACCTTCACAATCTGGTTTGTTAAGTGTTATGATTGGGAAAATAGCAAGGTGATGCCCCCAGCCCAAGCCTGAAACTTCAGGGAGGGCTTCTGAGGAAAAGGGGCCTCTGTTCTCAGCCTTCAAGGCAGAGTTAGATTTAATCAGGGCTGGGGTGGGTGGGAGGTAGCTTTCCTTATGCAGCACTTACTGTGTTTCAGTCACTGTGCTCAGTGTTTCAGCAATACTGTCTCAACACCTTCTGAGATAGACACTATTGTTAGCACCATTTTATGAATGGAGACACTGTAGCCCGGAGATATTAAATAGCATGCCTAAAGCCAGACATCTAGGAAATGTCGAAGCAGGAACTTGAATCTGGTCTGTAGACTCCAAAGCCTAAAAGGAGGTGGCTGCAGTTTACAGAGGGCAAAGAGAGTGGACTGGGATTTTTTTTTTTTTAATACAGTTAACCCTTGTGTTATGGGTTAAATTGTGTCCACCCCATCACCCTAAATTCATCCCGATCTCCAGGACCATAGAATATAACCATATTTGGAGAAAGATCGTCAAAGAGGTGGTTTAGTTAAATGAGGCCTTCTGGGTGGGATCTAACCCAGTATGACTTGTGTTCTTATAAGAGGAAGGGACTGAGCATGGTGGCTCATGCCTGAAATCCCAGCACTTTGGGAGGCTGAGGTGGGAGGAGCACTTGAGGGCAGGAGTTTAAGACCAGCCTGGGCAACATAGTGAGACCCTGTATCAACAACAACAACAAAAAGTAGCCAGGTGTGGCAGCACACACCTGCAGTCCTAACTACTCAGGAGGATCTCCAGCTTGTGCAACAGAGGGAGACACTGTGTCAAAAACAAAATTAAAAAAGAGACACCAGGGATGCGCATGCACAGAGAAAGGCCATGCGAGGACACAGGAAGAAGGCAGTCATCTGCAAGGAGGCCTCAGGAGAAACCAATTTTCCCAGCACCTTGATCTTGGACCCCTAGCCTCCAGAACTGCAAGAAAATGAATTTCTGTTGTTTAAGCCACCCAATCTGTAGCACTTTGTGATGACAAATGTAGCAAAGTAATACTCCTTGTTTCCTCTTTGGGGACACTGCTTTGATAGTAGGAAAATTCAGGGGATGTTTTGTTCTGTTTTCTCTGCCATAAAGTAAAAAAAGACAGATCTGGGGTTCTGCCCTCCTCTCTCTACATACATCTCAAGAGGATTGCTGGGCCCCTCCAGTTTCCTCTGCCTCAGGGGCTTGTACTGAACCAAAGCTGAGAGACAATTTCTCTTCCTGGCTTTTGGAGGAGCCAAAATTCATTAAGAAGACAGTGCAGTGTGTCCTGGAGTGGGGGAGAGAGCCTTAAGTGGCAGAGGCAGATTCTCTGAGGTACAGAGGTGATAGTGATCTGAGGGGTCAAAAGGGCACTCAAGCCTCCTTTCCTGGCAGCACCACATAGAGTGGCCATTGGACACCTGGCATGGCTGACTACACTCACCTTCTCATGCAATAGAGCACTGGGACCTCAAAGCATACATGATGCGCATTTCAGCCACTGCCAGCAGGGATCCACGACTGCAGCCACCACTGAGAAGTTTTTCTCTGCTTATGGGCTCTAGAACTGATACTGCTTCTGAAGGGCGTGAGATGCAGTTAGCACCAATGACAGCTGAGACCAAATCTCCCATCAGCCCAGGGAGATGGGGGGCTTATGTTGGATTGAGCTGAACTTAAAGCTAAAAAGAAAGCAATGCGATATTTTCGCACACCCGAATGTGTGCATTAAGAGTCAAATTGACTAGGCTTGATTTTTAGAATTGGGCTACCAAAATACAGGGCAGAAGCCAATTCAAAACAAAGCTGAAAATACATTTTTCAGCAAGAGAGACAATGAGCCAGCAGAGGAGGAATAAGCTATCCAGTGTTTTTCTTTTGGCTCTGCTGCTGTCTCCTGGCTCTGTGTTGTCTCTGTCCAGGACTAATTAAGCTTGTCATCTGCATCAGAGGGATGGGGCGAAGATTAACAAGTTAAGTGGAGAAAGGCTCTTGAAGCTCCTTAGATGAAAGGGGATCTAATTAGCAAGGCCAGCAATGACCGCAGGCAGGCAGGCAGGCAGGCAGGCAGGCAGGCAGGCAGGCAGGCAGGAAGGCAGGTAGGCAGACAGGCAGGCAAGGGCAGACTCTGCCCCCTTGCACTTACCAAACAGCTAGTTAGAGCTCCCGGAAGGGGCTTCTGCAAATTCCACTCAAGCCTTCAGCACCAAGAGAAGAATTTTCCACATTTTCTTCCAGTCCTAGAATTCTGAGATTCTTTATGAGTGGAGGAAAAAAAGAAAATGTGTGCACCTCTCTAAACTGATTGAGAGAAGAAAAAGGTACAATGCTCATTCCTTTCTCCTCAGCACAAGCTGATCTGCATGGATAGGAGTTAATGATACACAAGGAAGCAAGCAGAGTTGAGAAGTCCAGCAAGTTCGGTGATGGCATGAGGCAGACATAGGTTCTAATGCTGACTCTGCCACTTACTGGTTATGAAAACCGAGGCCAAACACTGAATAATGTCTCGAAATTCAGGTTCTTTATTTGCCCACGTGTGGATAATACTTCCTACCTCATGGAATTGTATGGCTTAGATTTGTTTGTGCTGAGCACATGGTACCCAAATAAGTGGATGTTTTTATAATGTCAGTCAATAATGCTACCGCTTGGTATGTAATAGGTGCTAGAAATACTGGTTGGCTGAGCCCCTTCATTCAGCAATTATTTATTGCACTATTTATTATGCCCATATTATTATATATGCCCTGGGTGTAAAATGTTGAGCCACGCAGACACAATTCTGCCGTCACAGAGCTGATGTGTATTCAGACGATGATCTCCATAAACCCTCAAATCCTCCCCTCAATGCCTTGTTTGTACTCTTGAAAGGCATCACTTGAGTATTTTTTTAGTATTTTAATTTTTATTTATTTTTATTTTGATAGTTTTAGGGGTGCAAGTGGTTTTTGGTTACATGGAGGAATAGTAAAGTGGTCAAGTCTTGGTTTCAGTATACCTGTCACCCAAGGAGTGTACATTGTACCAAATAGGTGATTTTTTAAAATCTCTCACCTGCCTACCACCCTCCCCATTTCTGAGTCTCCAACGTCCATTATACCCCTCTGTATGCCTTTGCATACCCATGCCTTAGCTCCCACTCATAAGTGAGAACATGCAGTATTTGGTTTTCCCTTCCTGAGTTATTTTGATTAGGATAATGGCCTTCAGTTCCATCCAAGCTGCTGCAAAAGACATTATTTCATTATTTTTATGGCTGAGTAGTATCCCATGGTAGATATGCCACATTTTCTTTATCCACTCATTGGTTTATAGGCACTTAGATTGATTCTATATCTTTGCAACTGTGAATTGTGCTGTAATAAACATACCAGTGCAGGTGTCATTTTTATATAATGACTTATTTTCGCTTGGGTAGATACCCAGTAATGGGATTGCTGAAACAAATGGTAGATCAACTTTTAGTTCTTTGAAAAGTCTCTATACTTTTTTCCGTAGAGATTGTACACATTTACATCCCCACCAACAGTGTATAAGCATTCTCTTTACACCACATCCGCACCATCTATTTTTCTTTTAATTTTGATAATGTCCATTCTAAATGGGGTAAGGTGGTATCTCATGGTGATTTGAATTTCCATTTCCCTGATAATTAATGATGTTGGCCATTTGTATATCTTCTTTTGAAAAATATCTGTTCAGGTTGTTTGCCCACTTTTTAATGGGATGCTTCATTTTTTTCTTGCTGATTTGAGTTCCTTAGAGATTCGGAATATTAGTCCTTTGTCAGATGTATAGTTTGTAAATATTTTCTTCCATTCTGTAGGTTGTCTATTTACTCTGTTGATTATTTATTTTGCTGCGCTGAAGCTTTTTATTTTAATTAAGTCCCATTTATTTATTTTTCGTTTTATTGCATTTGCTGTTGGGGTCTTAGTCAAAAATTCTTTGCCTAGGCCAATGTCCAGAAGTGTTTTTCCTAGGTTTTCTCCTTCTAGAATTTTTATGGTTTCAGGTCTTTCATTTAAGCCTTTAATCCACTTTGAGTTAATTTTTGTATATGGCAAGAGATAAGGATCTAGTTTCTTTCTTCTGTGTGTGGCTATCCAATTTTCTCAGCAACCCTTGTTGGATAGAGTGCCCTTTTTCCAGGGTATGGTTTTGTCTGCTTTGTTGAAGATCAGTTGGCTGTAGGAATTTGGCTTTATTTCTGCATTCTCTATTCTGTTCTCTGTGTGTCTTCTTTTATACCAGTACCATACTGTTTTGATTACCATAGCCTTGTAGTAGAATTTGAAATCTGGTAGTGTGATGCCTCCAGATTTGTTTTTTTTGTTTGTTTGTTTGTTTGTTTGCTTAGGGTTGCTTTGGCTATTTTGGCTCTTTTTTGGTTCCATATGAATTTTAGGACTATGATTTCTAATTCTGTGAAAAATTACGTTGGTATTTTGTTAGGAATTGTATTGAATCTGAAGATCACTTTGGGCAGTATGGTCATTTTCATGATATTTATTCTTCCAATCCATTAGCATGGGATTTTCTCCATTTGTTTGTGTCATCTATGATTTCTTTCATTAGTGGTTTGTTGTTCTCCTTGTAGAGCTCTTTCACTTCCTTGGTTAAGTATATTCCTAAAGTTGTTTTTTTGTTTGTTTTTTGCAGCTATTGTAAATGGGATTGAGTTCTTGATTTGATTCTCACCTTGGTCGTTCCTGGCATATAGCAGTGCTATCAATTTGTGTACATTGATTTTGTAACCTGAGACACTACTTAATTCATTTGTCAAATCTAGGAGTCTTTTTCAGGAGTCTTCGGGGTTTTCGAGGTATAAGACCATATCATTGGCAGAGACAGTTTGACTTCTTTTCCAGTTTGGATGTGCTTTATTTCTTACTGTTGCCTGATTGCTCAGGCTAGGACTTCCCACTCAAGTATTTTTTTTTTAATGAAAATAATTTTAAAAACTGCTCACAGTTATGTTTGTCTAGAAGAAAGAGTCAGTTAATTCTACTTTAAGAATTAAAAGTGATTATTAGTTTAGAACACTCCAAATTAGCCAACAAGGAGTTTAGAATTTTAAAATGCAAATACTGGAGCAAATCTTTTCACCTTTTCCCTTCAGTTCCATGATGTAGGACCCAGAGTTGCTGTTTTACCTGTTATGTAAATGGAAGCCTGGCAGGAATAAAAACAGAGGCAGAAGCTGTCCTGTTCCCAGAGACTGTAAGAAAGACCAGTCCTTCTCAGCACTTCTCACCACTGCCGCTGAGCACAGATTGTTGTAAATATTCAGTTAAGGTCTGTCTCCCACACTGGGCTGGGAGCTGCAGGAGGACAGGGACTCTGACTCTATGCTGGGTTCCTGGTTGAACCTCCCAGGCCTAGTGTCACCTTCTATGCTGGGGCTCATGACAGGCAGCATTCTCTAAAGCTCTGCAGGTGACTGTGATAAGGATTCTCTTTACCTATGTTTCATCTGCTCCTCACAGCTGCCCTACAAGTTGGGTGCTCTTATCAAGCACTTTTTGCAGATGAGGAATATGAGGCATAGCAAGGTTTGTGACTTGACTTGACTTGATTCTATAGCCAGTGTGAGTCCCAGAGCCACGCTTGCTCAGAGCACGTGGTCAGGCTCCAGAGTCCTCAGGCTTACCCATTTCTCCCTGCTGCCTCCACAGATGTTTGTGGAATGGGATGGGTGGAGGGTGGGCTGGCAGGAGACATGGGGGAGAGGTTGGTTGGGTACAGCACGGGCCACATTCTAGGCCCATGGGCTTTAGCGGCTCAGATCTAGAACTGCCCCAGGAACAGAGTAGAGTGCAGGCTGGTCTCTGCACTTTAAGCTAGTGATCTTGGCTAGGTTATCTCATATTTCTAAGTCTTGGTTTTACCTTCTGCAAAATGGTGATTAAAAACGAATAAACCATACGGTCAGAACCACTGTGAGATACCATCTCACATCCACTAGTATGGCTGTATCAAAAAACAAAACAGGAAATAACAAGTGTCAGCAAGGATGTAGAGAAATTGGAAACTCTGTACACTGTTGGTGGGAATACAAATGGTGCAGCCACTATGGAAAACAGTATGGTGGTTCTTCAAAAACTTAGGAAAGAATTACTGGGCCCATGCAGTAATTCTGTATCATGCCTGTAAAACTTAGGAAAGAATTACTTTCCTAAGTAAATTCTTTGGGAGACAAGGTGGGCCAATCACCTGAGGTCAAGAGTTTGAGACCAGCCAGAACGGCATGGCAAAACCCCATCTCTATTAATACAGTACAAAAATTAGCCAGGAGTGGTGGTGCACGCCTGTAGTCTCAGCTACTTGGGAGGCTGAGGCATGAGAATCGCTTGAATTTGGGAGGTGGAGGTTGCAGTGAGCCAAGATCACACCACTGCGCTCCAGCCTGGGGGACAGAGTGAGACTCCATTTCAAAAAAATAAAATAAAATAAATAAATAAATAAATAAAAATAGAGAAAGAAAGAAATGAAAAGAATTACTGTATCATCCAGCAATTCTACTTCTGGGTATTTACCCAAAGGAATTGAAAGCAGGGTCTCAGAGATTTTTGTTTACCCATGTTTACAGCAGCATTATTTACAATAGCCAAAAGGTGGAAGCAACCAGGTATGTATCAATGAATGAATGGATACACAAAATGTGATACAGACACACAATGGAATAGTATACAGCTTTAAAAAAAAAAAAAAAAGAAATTCTGATACATGCTACAACATGGGTGAATACCGAAGACATTAAGCTAAGTGAAATAAGTCAAAGTGCAATTACTACATGACTCCACTTACATGAGGTCTCAAATTCATAGAGACAGAAAGAAGAATGGTAGTTGTCAGGGGCTGGGGGAAGAGGGGAATGGGGAGTTGTTGTTTAATAGGTCTAGAGTTTGTTTTGTAAGCTGCAAAGAGTTCTGGAGGTAGATGGATGACAACAGTGAATGTACAATTCACAATGCACTATGCACTTAAAAACGTTTAAATGGGCCAGGCACAGTGGCTCATGCCTGTAATCCCAACAGTTTGGGAGGCCGAAGCAGACGGATCACTTGAGGCAAGGAGTTCAAGACCAGCCTGGTCAACATGGTGAAACCTGTCTCTACTAAAAATACAAAAATTAGCCAGGTATAATAATGGGTACCTATAATCCTAGCTACTTGGGAGGCTGAAGCATGAGAATCACTTGAACCCAGGAGGCGGAACTATACTTCAGCTTGGGTGACAGAGAGAGAGTCTGTCTCAAAAAAAAAAATGGGGGGGGTTAAATGATAAATTTTACGCTGTATGCATTTTAACACATTTTTTAAAATAAACTAATAGAAAGACACATACATTAGTCTACCTCCAAGCAGTGTTGTAAGGCTCAAATGAGATAGAGCTTGGCACATACGCTATATTAGTTGAGGGGTTGTGGCCCAAGTACCTTAGACTCTCCCTCAGGACCTTGCATTCTTAGAGAGGGTTTCTATACCTCTGGCCCTAAAGAAGTGGTGAGCACTGTCAGACTTTTTTTGTTTAGAGTGGCAGGCCAAGTTGGGATAGGTTTGGTTTTTTTTTTTTTTTTTTAAAGCAGAAAGGACTTTGGGTGCAACTGCTGACTTCAAAGCAGACACCTCTCACCACCCACAGTCACATGGGGCGTTTAAAATTAACCTCTAGGAAGGGCAGGGCCTGAACAGGGCCTGACGGGGTGGGGCCCCAATTTTTATGTCTCTGCTGGACACTGGTGCTAGTTTGCTCCCAGCTGCTGGAATCTTCCAGTGCTGCCAATAAAAGGTTCAGGAATGCTCACCAAGCCAGAAATGCCAGGCTCTGTCCTGGTCAGCACTCAGCACAGCTATCTGCACGAACAGGCCCTCTCTGCAGAACAGGAACAATAGCTCCCATTTAAGGACACCATGGTATTTTGCATGTATTATCTCATTTAGTCCTTACAACAGCCCAATAGAATGAATATTATTTATTTTTGAGATGTGAAAACTGAAGTTCAAAGAGGTAAAGTGGCTTGCCCAATAGTGAGTCGAAGAAACCATAATTGAAATTAGGGCTTGTCCAAAATTGTTATCCTTTCATTATGCTACATTGGAAATGAATGAATGAATACATGAAAATTGTAGAGGTTATTTTCAAATACCTTTACCTAAGGATTTCAAAGCATTTTTCAATAATTCCACCATAATTTATTGCTTATCTACAGTGCAGGCACCACAGAGTATTGAGTTTATAAAGTTGTCCTTGTCCTTATGGGGCTTGCGGCCAATTGGGGAGACAAGTAGGTGATAACTAGTAATAGCTAACATTTAATGACATTGCTGGGCTAGCTTTCACATGGGGTTTGTATGTTTAATCCATAACAACAGCAAAAAAAGCTTCTGAAAGAGATACTAATTCCCATTTCTCAAATTAGGATACTGAGGCTTAGATGGGTTAAAAAACTAACCTACAGTAGTATAACTAACTTAGTGCTCCTGGAAGTTTTGACCTTGGACATAACTGCTTGTCAGCGGTCTGCTAAAAAATGAGTACAGAAATTTAGTATAAGTGTTTTCTAGCAATTTGATAGAGTAATTTTATGTCAGTTGAATAAACTTTTTTTAAGTTGGCCTTGTATTTCGTGTGTTCATTTCTTCTTAAAACTTCATTCTTTTTAAGTAACTTGCTTTATTTTATTTTACAAAAGTATTGATCTGCGGTGGATTGGGGGAAAACAACTGCTTCTTTGCCACTGATAGTTTGAGAAGCAATGAAATAGCAAGGAAAAGCAGACCCGGGATTGGATGGGGACAGTCTAACTCCAGAGCATCTGCTTGTCCTCAGGGTTGAAAGATGGCTGCTGCACCTCCAGGCTCTGCATCTGCATTCCAAGGAGAAGGAAAGGAAAGGAGAAGGGCAAAGGGGATGACTAGTCGAGGCCACAAATAGCCACCTTGCTATTTTTCTGTCATGCCAAATTTATTCCCACCACTCTGCCTTTGTTCTTTGTAGTCTCTCTTCTCCAGATACCCAGACAGCTTGCTCCTTTGCTTTGTTCAGACCTGCATTCAAATGTCACCTTCCTCAGAGACACAGTCTTTGATCATCCTGTCTAAAATATGACCATTGTCCTTTTACTCACTAACCGTCTATTATCCAACATAGTAGCCACTAACCACCTGTGCCTACTGAGCACTCGAAATGTGGTTAGTCCAAATGGAGATGTGCTGTAAGGATAAGGCACGCACTGGATTTCAAAGACTTTGTTTCAAAAAAAAAAAGAATGTAAAATATCTCATTAATAATTTGTATATTTGTTACATGTTGAAATGATAATATTTTGGATATGCTGTATTAGGTTAAATAAAGTACATCAATAAAATTAATTTCACCTCTTTCTCTGCACTCTTTTAAATACGGCTGCTAGGCAATTTGACATAAGTGACTTTCATTGCACAGTCGTGCACCACATAATGACATTTTGGTCAACAAAGCACCACATATACCCTGGTGACCCCCTGCAGTTGCAGTGCAACACATTACTCACATGTTTGTGGTGATGCTGGGATGAACAAACCTACTGCGCTTCCGGATGTATAAAGGTATAGCAGATACAATTCTGCAGCATACATAACCCACTTGATAATGACAATAATGACTGTTACTGATTTGTGTACTCACTATACTATTCTTATTTCAGAGTGTACTGGTTCTACTTATATCTATTTTAAAATCAACTGTAAAATAGCCTCAGGCAGGTTCTTCAGTAAGTATTCTAGAAAAAAGCATTGTTCTCATAGGAGATGACAGTTCCATGCCCCTGAAGACCTTCCAGTGGGACAAGATAGAAAGGTGAAAAAGAGTGATACTGCTGATCCTGACCCTGGGTACACCTATGCTGATGCATGTGTTCATGTCTCAGTTGTTAATTAAAAAGTTGAAAAGGTAGGCCAGGTGCAGTGGCTCATGCCTGCAATCCCAGCACTTTGGGAGGCTGAGGCAGGTGGATCACTTGAGGTCAGGAGTTCAAGACCAACCTGGCCAACATGGTGAAACCTCATCTCTACAAAAAATACAAAAATTAGCTGAGCGTGATGGCGGGTGCCTGTAATCCCAGCTACTCCAGAGGCTGAGGCAAGAGACTCGCTTAACCCAGGAGGTAGAGGTTACAGTGAGCCAAGATTGCGTGACTGTACTCCAGTCTGGGCAACATGCCAGCCTCCGTCTCAAAAAATAAATAAATAAATAAATAAATAAATAAATAAATAAATAAAAAGTTTAAAAAGTTCCCCAAAAAAGTTTAAAATAGAAAAAAAAGCCTGTAGAATAATGATACAAAGCCAAAAAAAAAAAAAAAACAACTTTCGAACAGCCATACAATGTGTTTCTGTTTTAAGCTGTGTTATTACAAGGGGCCAAAAAGTTTTTTAAAAATTAAGTTTATAAAATAGAAAAGTTACAGTAAGCTAAGGTTAATTCATTATGAAAGAAACAAAAATATGCTTTTTTAAATTTAGTGTAGCCTAAGTGTACAGTGTTTGTAAAGTCTACACTAGTATATAGTAGTGTCCTAGGCCTTCACATTCACTCACCACTCACTCACTGACTCACCCAGAGCAATTTCTGGTCCTGTAATCGCCATTCATGGTAAGTACCCTATACAGGTGTACCATTTTTTATCTCTTATACTATATTTTTACTGTAGCTTTTCTGTTTTCAGATTTGTTTGCAGACACAAATAGTTACCATTGTGTTCCAATGGCCTACAGGATTCAGTACTGTGACATGCAGTACAGGTTTGTAGCCTAGGAGCGATAGGCTACACAATATGACTTAGGTCTACAGTAGGCTACACCACATAGGTTTGTGAAAGTATATTCAGTGATGTTCACCCAATGATGAAATCACCTAACAACACATTTCTTAGAATGTATCTCTGTTGTTAAGTGACGCATGACTGTATTTCTATTCAACAGAGCTATGTCAGCCCTGACATTGCTTTTGCTTCATAGAAACTATCACCACCAGCCATTAAATCATATATCTATATTTTCTTTATTTATCATCAGCCTTTTCCACTGGAATGGAAACTCCAGAATGGCAGGGACTTTATTTCCTGTTCACCACTCTAATCCCCGTACCTGCAACAGTGCCTGGCATAATATAGGTATTCCAAAACTGTTGTATGAACGGATGAATAAATGAATGAAAAAACCTGGCTGGACCAGAGACTTTCTCAGGTCCCTTTCATCTTTGTGTTTCCATCATTTTGCCTGTGTGACAATTTGCTTAAAAATATGCATTTCGGAAAAGTATAATATGAATGTGTATAGTAACTTTAATATACAATCTCAAGGTAGTTAGGTGATATTCAAAGTACCCTACTCAGAAATCCACACTCTAGAGGAGACTGCTTGAAGCTTTTCATATATAAAAATCCACACTAGGAGTTCATTAATTAGCATTAGGAATGTCAAAAATAAGTATTCGTTGCTGGAGAAAGAGCAGCGCTGAAGGTAGCTTAGCTAGAAAACCTTCGCAGCTCAGCTTCTTTGCACAACAGGGTATGAACATTAAAAAAATTCAGCAGACTTGTACCCTCAAGGTCCTAAGCCCCCTGAGTTCCATGCTTCCCTCTTCCCCCAGGACTTTTATGCTGACCTGGGTACCTGGTCGGTTGGTCTCTCTTGGAGTGAATATTTCCTGCAGGGTGCCTGTGGGACTCCCTTCTTCCCACACTTAAAAGAATTGATTGTGGTTTTTGTGCCTGACTTGCCAATAAATACAAGACTGGCAGAATTTGGTCTGAGACCTGACTTCATAACAACATACCTCCAGGTAGCAAGGTTAACGGGACAGGATGTATGGCCCCACCTCACCCCATCTACCTCTGATCACTGGAGGCTACTGATATCGATCAAGAGAAGCTGACATTTGTTAAACCAACAGATTGGTTTAGGCCTGTCAGTAAGAGACCGCTAGACTTTTTCATCCCAGAGGCTGCTTCTTAGTTTATGCTTTCTCTTCAAGCTCTCTCTCTGCCATAACAGAAAGCTGACCCTAGCTCAGACAGTGCTTGTCTGCAGTCAGGCTGCAGTGGTTCTGGTCCCTTCCACATCTGTTGAAACAAGCCACTGCAAGGGTGTTGGGCAGCCACCCTGCAGTGTTAGAGGTCAGGGTGAGTTGTTCAATCTGAGCCAAAATTTGAGAGGCAGCCATCATTCTCACGGCCAAGCCTCTGGAACTAGCCATGGGCCTTTATTCCCTCTTGATATGATTTGGCTCTGTGTCCCCACCCAAATCTCACCTTGAATTGTAATAATCCCCACATGTCAAGGGCAGGGCTAGGTGGAGAAAGTTGAATCACAGGGGCGGTTTTTCCCATACTCCTCTCATGATAGTGAGTACGTTTCACAGATCTGATGGTTTTATCAATGGGAGTTTCCCTACACAAGCTCTCTTGCCTGCCACCATGTAAGATGTGTCTTTGCTTCTCCTTTGCCTTCCTCCATGATTGTGAGGGCTCCTCAACCATGTGGAACTGTGAGCCCTTTAAACCTCTTTACTTTATAAATTACCCAGTCTCAGGTATGTCTTTATTAGCAGCATGGGAACAGACTAATACAACCCCCTTGGAAAACAGAGTCTTTAGAAACTAGGGATAGGCCTGGTTTCAGGTTTCCAACCCAGGGAACATTGCCCTTGGTGGTCTCAGTATGGCAGGCAGGACCTGAGTCCACATGCACACCAAGAATTGCCTGTGGGCTGAAAAAAATATGTTTCTCATAAGCAATATGCATACACCATGTTCTGCATGCTTATAGATGAGTAAAATTCATTTGGCTTGTGCTACTGACTTCATAAAAACTTTTGTCAATATCTGAATCAATAGATCCTAAAGGAATAATTCTATCCCTCAGGGTCCTCATATGCAAAGGTTGAGTGTTGCTGAGTTGACTGCAACTTTTTGAGCTGGAAGGGAGTTCAGAGAGCATGTGGTAGACCAATGATTTGCAGATTTTTTCAGGGTAGAACTTTTTTACTCCCAAATTAACACTCAATTTTTTAAAAAAGAGCAATAGAAGCTATGAAAGTCTCCCTACAGAAACAAGCTCTGTGTATAGATAGAGGGTTGGCCTACTGTGTGCTGAGGCAGATCTGGGCTGAGATGACATTGTTTGTGCTCCACAAATGTCTGCAGAGCCCCACACCCCTTCAGCCTGGGACCCACTGTCTCTGTCTCTGGAGGAGTCATCCATTGATTCTATCATTTGACAAACTATAGAGTCTCTGAGTTGAGAGGGATTGTGAAGGTTGTCTATTCTTGGGTATCTTTTGTGTAGCAGATCTGATAACATTTCGACAAACATTTATGAGCACCTACTGTATGCTGGGAAGAATGGTAGGCCCTGAGAAGAGTGGTAAATAACCTGGAAAGGTGCATCCAACAAGGACACAGTGGTATTATGGGGGAACAGGCAGCTACAGGAGTGCAGTGGTGGAGCCTGTGTCCCCTCTAGGAGACCAAGGAAAACTTTCAGGAAGGGATGTCTCAGGTGACCCTTGAGTAAGTAGGTAGAGGGAGAAGTGGAGAGGGACAGCAAAAATGGTATGTGTATTCCCTGCTAAGAGGATGGCATGTGGAGGGAATGACTATTACAACTAACCCACATGACAGATAGACAGATCTAAGTGCTTTTGCAAGTATACCACTCTCTAATGTAGGTCCTATTATTTACCCCATCTTGCAAATGAAAGCACTCAGATTCAGAGTAGTCAGATACCTTGCCCCAGGTCATATAGTGAGAAAGTGATAAAGCCAGGTTTCAAACCCAGATTATCTGGAACCAGAATCATTGTGCTTAACCACTATGCTGTATTGCCTGAAATACTAAGAGAGCAAGAAAAACTTGCAATTGAGTTCAGTTCAATGCTGTGGCAGACTCAGAGGTGAGGCTGGGGAGGTAGGAAGGACCAGACTATGCTTGGCTTTGTTGATGGTGCTGAGGAGTCTGAACTTGATCCAAAGGGCAATGAGAAGCGAGTAAAGGGTTGCAATCAGAGAAGTGAAATAAACAGATGTTATTAAACTTCCTGCTACAAAACCAGATTCTCATGAGATTATCAGCACTAATCCCATCATGTCCCACCTCCCTGTTCACCTCAGTCACCTCCAGAAGGTCAAGTTCCCATCCCAAGTCATCTGGCATCACCCCAACCTTAGCCCCTTGGTGGATCTGCACATCTGGTAATCTGAACCAATCGCCCCCGCACTGCCCAGCCTCTCAGCAGCCTCCTCCTCTTCTCTATTCTTAATCCCTTCTCAGAATGTTTCCCTCACCTCTTACCCCGTCTAGTGCCTGGATTTGTCCTAAAACTTCCATTGCAGCTACTTAA